TCAAATGCACGTGAAAGCTGGACACTGAATAAGTAAGATCAAAGAAGAATTGATGCCTTTTGAATAATGGTGTTGGGGAAGAATATTTAATATACTATAGACTGCTAGGTGGGTCAACGAAAAAGGGGAAGGCCCTCAATAAGATGGACTGACACAGTGGCTGCAATGATGGGTTCAGGTATAACAAGGATCGTGAGGCTAGCACAGGACCAGTCAGTGTTTTGTTCTGCTGTGCATAGGGTCACTATGAGTTGGAGGTGACTTGACAGCACCTAAGAACAACAACAACAACAGACTGCTAGAAGAATTAACAAATCTGTGTTGGAACAAGTACAGCCAGAATGTTCTTTGGAAGTGAAGATGCTGAGACTTCTCACATACTGTGGATAAGTTAAGGACCTCCGGTGGTGTAGTGGGTAAGCCATTTCATTGCTAACCAGAAGGCTGACAGTTCAAATCTACCAGCTGCTCTTCAGGAGAAAGATGAGGCAATCTACTTCCATAAAGAGTACAGCCTTGGAAATCCAATGGGGGTTGCTACTAGTCAGAACCAACTTGATGGCAGTGGGTTGGATATGTTATCAGGGGAACTAGTCCCTGCAGAAGGACATCATGCTTGTAAAGTAGGAGGGCCAGCATAAAAGAGGAATGCCCTCAAGCAGTGGATTGACACAGTGGCTGCAACAATGAGCTTAAACATAACTAAGATTGTATCCAGGATCAAGCAGTGTTTTGTTTTGCTGTACACAGGGTTGCCACAGGGTTGCTATGAGTTGGAACTGTCTTGACAGCACCTAACAACAAATTATTCTAGTGAGGTTATGAAATTGAACAAATAATTATTAATAAGTACATGAAATTCACCTCTCTAAATAGCTTTGGTGGCGTAGTATTTAAGGCATTTGGCCCCTAACTGAAAGGCATGTGGTTCGAACCCACCAATTGCACCATGGGAGAAAGATGAGGCAGTCTACTTCTTTCCTCTCTCTCTTTTTATTTAATATAGTACTTATTTAATAAAATGTATGTTAAGTAGAATTATTTTTGCAGAATCAGTAAATATAGTCAAATACATTTTACCTGAACCATTTTGATTGAAATTCTTCAACCAAAATTGTTGTTATTATTTTGCATTGAGTCAGACCCAACTCATAGCGACTCCTACTTGGGTTTCTGAGGTGGTATCATTACGGAAGTAGATTGCCCAACCTTCCTTCTGAGGAGTGGCTGGTGGGTTTGAACAATACTAAAGTTAAATTTATGTTCATAAATTAATTTTTGATACTAGAAAATCATTTATCTTTTGGGACCCTTTTGTACTCTAGTATAAGGAACTGAGACTAGATCACAGGCTACTGGTCAAAACTGGCTTGTCCATAGTTTAAAAATTATCAGTTTTCAATCTATACCTATAGATTAAAAAGTGAATTCATATACACATTTGTATTTCTGGGTTCTTTTGAAAACATGGAAGACTGTAATATATAGTCTTCCTTTTTCATAGGGCAACAAGGTGCTCAAGGTGCAATAAGCATGCATCTTCCTTACATTTATTTTAACTGGCTGTCTTTTATAATCCTTGGACTAAATGTTCTGATGAGTTCCTGACAGATCTATAATTCCAACAACCTGAATACATCTATTAAGCAACCACAATATAGTTTTGAATAGCTGTTTAAGTGAAAGGGTTTCTTCTTCTTGGCTAAATGTTTCAGGTAATTGTTTCAATTCATTAGTAATTTTATTTAGATTTTTGTATAGATACTTTCTTTGTATTGCTCAAATAGTAGGAATCAACACTACTTTTTACCTATTTTATGTTATAATTAATGAGTCTCTTTGAGTTCTAACGTTTATACATTTTTCACTAGAGTGCTTCATTTATATGTGGAATAAACAATGGAAATTATCCAGATCTTGTTCAACCGGTAGCTCCTGATTGCTCTGAGAACAACTCTTACATCACTAGTACTTACAGAATGAAAATTTGGCTCAGAAATTTTGTTTGATTTTCTTCCAAAGGACTAGCTCTTATAGTCTGTGACATTGCCTATTTAATTAAAAGGGAGTAACTATAACTAGTATGTAGAACTTGGCAATGGGGCCCTTCATAGGGGAAATCAGAGTCTGAGTGGCAGACAAGGTTTACTGGTTAGTATATTTCCAGTGTTCTTGGTTGCTTTCTGGTAGCTGTCAAAAGTAATAAAAACATTTATTCTCCATTTCTTTTAAAGTAAGTTCTATATAAGACAGTAAATCATAGCTCCTATTAAAATATAAGTGTGTGTGTATATACATATATATATGTGTATATATATATATATACATATATATATATGATATCTATACATTATAAGGAGCTCTGGTGGCGTAGTGTCTAAGGCAGTTAGTTGACTACTAATCAGAAGGCTGGTGGTTCAAACCACCAGCCACTCCTTGGAAGGAAGGTTGGGCAGTCTACTTCTGTAGTGATACTGCCTCGGAAACCCAAGGAGGGGTTGCTGTGAGTCGGGTCCGAATCAACGGCACATAACAACAACATATATTTTAATAAAGAGTGATGTCCATGAAACTGGACTATTGAGTTGGTAGTCACAACTCCACCTGTACCACCCCTTTACCATACAAGTGTCAAAACAGGATCACAGTCAGTGTAGAAACAGAAGAGTACAGGACATATGAGAATCTTGAATCTTTTTCAAGGACAAGAAGTGCTTAGCAGACTTTATTTATATGTTATTTTCACATGAGCTTTTTTCTTTTTTTTAAATGGAATTAAAAGATCTAGAGGAAGAGGTAAGTATCTATGACTATTAAGTGCACAGAAAAGAAATTAGGTGTGGAATCTGGCACTAAGTTGGTTAAGTTTTACTGTATTTTTGCTTTGAGGGAAGCTTTGAGGTATTCATATATTTTTTGGCTTTCATTTCTGCTTTGGCTCCTAATTAACAGTTTTAAAGTTTAGAATAATTGTTAAAGAACGGAAAGGGGCATAGACTGCATCAGGGAGAGGAAGGAAATATATATCTGTTATCTATACCTATAGATTAAACAAGTTGTAAAAACTGAAAAGGAGCCTTGGTGCTGCAGTGGTTAAGCGCTCAGCTGCTTACCAAAAGGTTGGCAGTTTAAACTAACAAGCTGCTCTACAGGAGAAAGAGGTGGCAGTCGTTTTCAGAAAGATTGCAGCCTTGAAAACCCTATGGGACAGTTCTACTCTGTTCTTTAGGATTGCTATGAATCAAAATGGACGTGATGGCAAAGAATTAAAAACTGAAAATGATTCTGGAGATCCGTGAAAATGTTGACACACTGAAGAAATTTTATTAAGCAGCACAATGTTCTAATAGAGGCATACGTTATTCTAAGACTTTAAGTTCTTAACTTCAAAAATTTTGACTGTGGTTCCGTTTTGACTTTAATAAACTAATCACATAATCTAATGTCAAAACACACCATCCGATGCAAATTAAGGTTGTGTAATACCTTAAAATGGAGAATTATTAAGCAATTTCTGCTTCTCTCTGATACTGCTAGTTCCTGAAACTCTTCAGGGTAATGGGGAAACCGAGAGATAGCCCTTTGAACTCTGGAAAACTAGGTTGCATTTTGGTCCTGAACATCACTCGACGGGGCCAGTTTTAGGTTCTTTTTGGCACAATAGTTCTGCTGCTGCAAGATCTTACATTAGAACACTTCTTAAGGATTTATGATTCTGTTCATCTCTTGTGTGATCTCTTGGGTGATTTGCTTAGGAAGAAGTATTTGCTTTTCTGAGTTTTTGGACCTGAGTTGGAAGGCCGGCTTTGGTGAGAATGATCAGGCTGACAAGGAAATCTTGTGAGATGATTATTGTTTACACCTATGTCAGCTAAAACCCATTTCCAGAAGCAAATTCAGTCCTCTGTACTTGATTCAACAGACCTAAAGATAGAGTTCTAAATTTAGAAGACAAGTTGCTTCTTTAAACTCCGCTTTTCAGAGAAGAGCACCCGCCTAGCCAAGGTCCCAATGATCCTGATTGGTCATTCTGGTAACTAGGAGATAATAGAATTTTAAGGTAGTTTTGCGGGGCAAACGCCCAGGTAACTCCGTTTGTTGTGGAGAAGCCTCTCCAATCTTCTGTTGGACAGAGGAGAGCGGATTGAAGCTCTTCTGCGTGGAGGCGATTAAACTTTGTTTAATGTAGAGCGGACCTGACGCCTACCTGTTCAAAGTCCAAAGTCCGGACCAGGTGGCAAGGTGAACCTTTTCTGACAAAAATGAAGGCAGCGGTCAGCTTCCCCCGCGCGGCGGCGTCCCAGGGGGTACGACGCTTCCAGGGGTTTACTTGGGGTGCAGACAGCAGGCTACTGGGGGTGGCAAGCGCTGGGGGTTGAGACTGGGCTTGGCGCGGGTCCCTGGATCGAGGGATCGCGTCGCGTTCACAGCATGGGGCTGAGATTGGGGCCAAGGCACTGGTCTTTGGGGTGGGAGGGCCACATCGTAGAGCAGAGGCTGAGGCCAGACCCCATTCTCTCAGTCTCAAGTCCCTCCACTGCCTAAGGTGGATGGCTTCGTTTGGTAGAGTGGCGGGCCCTTTAAGAGTGAACGACCAGGACACGTCTACGAACCTCGCGCGAAGTAGAGGAGGAAGTTTACCGCGTCCCGGGCTTCCCCTCCTCCTCGCGGCCGCCTGGCCGAAACCAAATTGAGGTGGAGGGGGACGGCGAGTAGAAGGAGTATTGCAGGGTAGTGCGGGACAGGCTCAGAGCTGCAGAGCCTCAGTACGTAAAGTGTAACATGGTGGCCCAGTCTCTCTCGGTCCGCAGCTTGGGCAGAGAGGGCCTGTTGGTGCCCGTCCGCGTTCTGCTCTTACCCTAAGCCGGCTCCGTGGTGGTCTGCCCCGGTCTCCGGGTGCGGGTTTGGGTTCCGGACGCAAAGCTGTGTGTTCTTTGCAGCTTGTTGTGGCGGGGTCGGGCCGTGGCTGCAGCCGTGACAGCCGAGGCAGCCTTGGCATCATGGAGGAGCCCAGGGCTACCCTTCCGCCGTACTTAGGGCTGATTCTGGAGAAGCTGCGTAGGGTGAGTCTGGGCGCGATCAGGGTTACGTGGCCCAAGAGTCGCGGGAACTGCCCGGGGAAGGAAGCAGCGGTCTCTGATTTTGGGGTCTGAGCAGCAGTGGTATAGAGTCCCAAGGCCAGTCTTCACCTGCAGACGGGCTCGGCCTGAGTCCAAGGCAGTAGCCAGGTTCGTAGGATACTTGGACTGTTTTTCGTGTGGTGGAGGGGGATCTGGAGATCAGGAGTTGGTGTGTGTGCAGAAAGATGAAGGATTTGCAAAGGTGTGTTAAATGTTTCCTAATTCCTAGGCGAATTAGCTTTTCTGTCATGTTATTTTGAGCAGAGGTCAGTGACAAGAGGTTCCCTCAACTGTGACAAACTTGAGGATTGACCCTCTGAAGTGAGTACATTTCAGTGATTTAACTTCTTGTCTTGAAAGGACAGGTAAGCTTGGGCAAAGAGTTGGGATTCCATTTCTGCATTTTCTTCTAGTGAAAAATGCTCTTGTCAGATGCTTTCTATGAGTGAGCTTGCTCTTCTCTTCTGTGTCTTGTTAAGTAAAAATCTGGAGTTAACTAAAACTCCCAGTTTTTAATATATCTTAATTTTCTGCAGTTTAGTTTATGATCAAGTTGCAGGGGTTTTCCTCTTTAAGTGTTTATAGGCATTTTTATTGACATGTTTAGAGCCATGTTTTTTAAAAAACTATTTGCCTTGAAGTTTTAAAAAATCCATTTACATTATGAAGCAGTTATGATTATAGTTTCTTGTTATGTGAATAAAAAAGTACTGTTGTCATGCTGTCCATTCATTCATTTAGCCATCCAACCAGGGTGTGTGTAGTGTTCATTTATAAATAATAGTGACTGCTCTGTGGAGATCCTAAATAACCCAAGACATATTTTGGCCACTGATGCTCTGCTGTCTGTTAAGGGAGAGAATACAAGAAAATTGTACAAAGTAGAAAGTGATGAAGTACTTACTGAAGCATAAACACAAGTGTTAGAGAAATTTCTTGAATGGTTAGGGAAGGCATTTGTAAGTAGTTAAGGAAGGATTTCCAGGCTGAGGGAATAGCTTAGGTGGAGAAGGCATGGAACAACATAATGTGTTCAGGGAGCTACAGGCAATTGCCATGGACTTGATTGTGACTCTTGGCCCTGCATGTGTGTCATAGTAGAACTGTTCTATAAGATTTTCAGTTAGCTGCCAAGCTAACTGGGTACTGGTGGCGTAGTGCCTAAGATTACTAACCAGAAGGGTTATTTCTTAATTTTCTGCAGTTTAGTTTATGATCAAGTTGCAGGGGTTTTACCTCCTTAAGTGTTTATAGGCGTTTTTATTGACACATTTAGAGCCATGTTTTTTAAAAAACTATTTGCCTTGAAGTTTTAAAATATCCATTTACAACATGAAGTGGTTATGATTATAGTTTCTTGTTATGTGAATAAAAAAGTACTGTTGTCATACTGTTCATTCATTCATTTAGCCATCCAACCAGGGTGTGTGTAGTGTTCATTTATAAATAATAGTGACTGCTCCGTGGAAATTCTAAATAACTCAAGACATATTTTGGCCACTGATGCTCTGCTGTCTATTAAGGGAGAGAATACAAGAAAATTGTACAAAGTAGAAAGTGATGAACGCAGGTACTCTGTGGAAGGAAGATTGGGCAATCGACTTCTGTAAAGATTTATTGCTTTGGAACCCATAGGGGATCAGTAGGAGTCGGAATCGACTCGATGGCACTGAGTGTGGTTTTTGGTTTTTGCTGAGCTAACTAGAAACACATATAGTAACTATGTTATTAGAGTGTAAAGAGGGCTCGGGGAATGATGGGTGATGATGCTTGGTGGAGATGTAAGTAGGCTCCAAGTGTTGTAGGTATTGGAGAGCCATTGGATTTTCAATGGTTAAAGTTTGATTTAGATCTTCCTGATACTAGGAGAGGTAAGATGTAAGCGGTGCAAGACTAGAAACAGGGCTTATGGGAGAGACAGAATAGTTGTGGTAGAGGTAGAAAAGTCCTGAGTGGGAAAATATTTAAGAGTTTGCTAAAATGGGTAGGACTTGATTATTGATTAGAGTGAAGGTTGAGAGAGAGAGGAGTCTGAAGGACTCCTAGGTTTCTGGCTGTGGCAACTTGTTCATTCACTGAGACAGGTTATTCAAGAAGAGAATCTTATTGTGGGGTGGGAGATGATTTCCACTTGCACATATTGGAGTTTAGGTCTCTTTCTTAACTAAAAATGCTAATAATCAACACTTAGTTTTTTTCAAGACTGGCAGTAGACAGAAACATGGATGGGGCAATCAAATTTTGCTGCATTTTCTCTAGTCCTGTGTATAATACTTTTTCTCCCAGGTAACACATAACTTTGTTCTTCATTCAGTAAAATGCATATTTAATTAATACGGAATTATTTATTAATTAGAGATAGTGTGTTTTATGGTATGTGGAATACAAATCAAATGCTTTTTGTATTAAAATTATTCTGAGTTATGTTACATCTTTAACCAATATGTATCAAGAATTTAAACAACAATTTTGCCTTGGTGCTGTTTTGCTAAATGCCACTGCTCTCCCTAATTTGACTGGAGGATAGGATGGCACAACACTGCTTTGCTTTTTAAAACATTTTTTATTTTTCTATTGAGATATAATTAAATAACATAAATTCACCCTTTTAAAATGTGCAGTTCAGTAGTCTTTAGTATATTCACTGTGTTGTATAACCATCACCACTGTCTACTTCCAGAACATTTTCATTGTCCCAGTTCTCCCCTCTGCCTTTTCTTTGGCAGCTACTAATCTATTTTTGTCTCTATGAATTTGCCTGTTCTGGACATTTCATATAAATGGAATCATACTTTCGTGTATGACCTCTTTAATAGCGTGGCGTTTTTAAGGTTCACCCATATTGTAGCATATAGTACTTCATTCCTTTTTATGGCTGAATAATATTCCATTTTATGGATAATATCACATTTTGTTTGTCTATCAGTTGACAGGCGTTTGTATTGTTTCTACTTTTTGACTATTATTAATAATGCTGCTATGAACATTTGTATAGAAGTTGCTGTGTTAATATATGTTTTCATTTATTTTGGGTATGTACCTAGGAGTGGAATTGCTGAGTATGCGTAACTTTTTGAGAACTACTACCAACTGTTTTCCATAGAGACTATTACCATTTTACACTCCCACTAGCAATGTACAAGGGTTCCAGTTTTCCTGCAAGTCTTCTTTTTTTTTTAAATTGTTGTTTTATAGTGGATATAAAGTGGTATCTCATTGTGATTTTGATTTGTAATTCCTTGATAGCTAATGATGTTGAGCATCTTTTCATGTGGATTTTGACCATTTGTGTCTCTTCTTTGGAGAAATATCTGTTCATCCTTTGCCTATTTTTAAATTATATAATTTGTCTTTTTACTGTTGAGTCATAGAGTTCTTTATGGTAGTGCCTAAGGCATTTGACTGCTAAGGCTGGCAGTTCAAATCACCAGCTACTCCTCAGAAGGAAGATTGGGCAATCTACTTTCGTAGAGATACTGCCTCGGAAACCCAAGGAGGGGTTGCTGTGAGTTGGAACCGACTTGACGGCAGTGAGTTTAGGTTTTTTTTTTATTTCAGTTTTAGACCTTTAGCAGATATATGAACCCCATTTTTGGGGATTACAATGAACATCTTAATTTACAACAATCTAGTTTGGATTGATGCAACTTTAATGTAAAAAACTTTGCTCCTGTACAGCTCCATTCTTCTCTCCTTATGCTATTATTGTCATAATTTACATCTTTATAGATTGTGTACCTGCCATCTTATATTTGTAATTTTTGCTCTATGTAGTTATTTTTCAAATCAGATAGAGAAAAAGGAGTTACAAACCAGAAATACATTTATAACCATGCTCTTCTTTTGTTTAGCTCTTTATCCTAAGCCAGAACATAATTTTCCTCTGAGTTCCTCCTCATAATGCAGCTGAAGCAAGGCTAGAATAATTAAACGTATTTTTTTTTTTTTTCCAAGTCTAGGCCCAAGAGTGTATGACTGATGTAGAAAAGGGATTTCTACCAGCTTAAGATCAAACACCGATCTTTTTTTTTCAGGATTCCTCCTTTTTTTCTAGATGATTGGCTTTGAAAATGACCATCCCAATGTCAGTAGTTAATCACTTGCAGAAATTTTTCCCATTTCAGTAAACATAAACTATAGCAGATGATCCTTCTGTACAGTGACCCCTTCTGGACATCCAAGTATATTTGTCTAGTTACAAGTAATTATTAATCTCAGGATGGGAGTCACAGATTTGTGAGTTATTGTAATACTAATGAAAACCATGAAAATGGATAAGATTACTAAGGAGATCATGTAAGAAAACAGAGTTCCTGTAATATAACTTGTCAATAAATGTGTAATTAGTTAATGGATAGATAGATGACTGAATGAATATTTAAAAAAAAAAATCATATATTTTGTTGTTGAGAAAATATCCACAGCAAAACATAAACCAATGCAAATTTCTGCCTGTACAATTCGGTGACTTTGATTACATTTTGCAATTGCAAGTACTCACCTTCCTTTTCTGAGTTGTTCCTCCCCATTAACATAACCTTTCAGTTACTTGTCAGTTTAGATAGATCTTACAAGAGTTCAACACTGAAGGCAGACATTCTTTACTGATTAAGCTAAACTGTTGTTTGGTTTTAAGAAGATCGCAGGGGACATTTTTGGTGTAAGGTTTAAAGATTATTTTAGGGCAGTAGTTTCAGGAGTTTATCTAGTCTCCATGGCTCCAGAAATCTGGATTCCAAGAGAATTTGAAATTCTGTTCTACATTTTACCCCTTTTGATCAGGATTGTTTTCTAGAATCTTTGATCAAAATGTTGAGTAATGGTAGCAGGGCACCATCCAGTTCTTCTGTCTCAGTAACTGAAAGGTTATGTTAATGGGGAGGAACAACTCAGAAAAGGAAGGTGAGTACTTACACTTGTAAATAGAGATGACTACATAAACTTGTATCTGTGCTTATAATTAACACTTTTTATCAAAAGTGCATTTTAAAAAACTTAATTGTCTTTGTTTTGAAGGTTGTGGCAGCTCTGCCTGAAGATATGAGACCAGTTCCTAATTCTTATGATTTTCCATGGGAATTGGTGATATGTGCATCTATTTTGGGATTTTTTGCTATACCCTTGTTTTTGTGGAGAAGTTTTCAATCGGTAAGTAGCTAATGCTGTACTAAAAGTACGTTCATTGTAAGTCTTCAAATTGAACAAATAATATGGGGAAACCTTTTTATTTTAAATAAACAAGTTGTGTGTAGGTGCTAGAAACTGAGTACAGATTCAGAATCATTTTTTTTCAGGGTAAAAATTTTAAAGAATTTCTTTGTAGAAGTATTCTACATCGGTATTATAACCAGAAGGCTGGCGGTTCAAACCCACCAGCCACTCCTCGGAAGGAAGATGGGCAATCTACTTCCGTAGTGATACTGCCTCGGCAACCCAAGGAGGGAGGGGTCGCTATGAGTTGGGTGTGACTCGAGGGAACATAACAACAATAACAACAACATTATAACCATACCTTTACTTCTTACTCACTTTTTTGGTGTGTGTTTGCTTTAATATATACTCAGCATTTGTGAATGTGCTACCCAACCTGGCATAGAAAATATCGATTGTTACTTACATTTATATTATCCTTCCTCATTTTATCCCTCTGATGCCCTGTGATGGTAACCACTGTTCTGGATCTTGTGTTGATTATTTATTTGTCTTTTGTTTTAAATAATTCTGCCATATTTATGTACATATATTCCTTAAAAGTAGTTTGTAGTTTAGTTGTTTCCAGTTTTTAAAAAGGGTATCATACTATATGTCATCTTTTGGAACTTTATTTTTTACTGCTTATGTTGCTAAGATTCATCCATATTTTTAGATGAGGCTATAACTTCCTTTGGCTGCTGATGACCATGATCTATTTGCTGTTAATTTTTGTCTGGTAAGAGGCAGAGATCCAGTGTAACTTTTTCTCCCAAGGAATAACCATTTTTTCCAGCTCCATTTATTGTTTAGTGTCTCCTTTCCCCACTGATCTGCCATGGTATTTGATAGATTTAAGTTACCATATACATTCGAGTCTGGACTCTTTATTTTATTCTATTCATTATTGTTGGAAGCAGGTACATGTATATCATTTTATCTCTGTTCATTAGCTCAGGCTTGCTAATTGACTAATTGTGTTGTTCAGATATTACATATTTTTGTTTCTTTTTTTTTTGTGTGTGTGTTTCTTTGATCTGTAAAGAATGAAGTAGGCTGAATTACACTGTGATGATGGACTTATAAATTTCTCCTGTAATTCTGTCAATTCTTGCTCTCTATATATTATGAAAATATTTTGTTAGGTACTTAGCGTGCTTTGAATTGTTATATTTTGGTGAATTGAACTTTTTATCAGTAAATGGTGATCCTTTAATTCTAGTGATGCATTTTTCTTAAAGTCTCTTTTATTGATGTTAGTGTAGCCATATCAACTTTCTTTTGGGTAATATTTGATAAGTCTTTTCCATCTTTATACTTTTAGCCTGATCTTATACTTAATGTGTCTTTTATGAATTTTTTTTAATATCTAATATGACAATTTCTGTTTTATTGTTAATGCATTTACTCTATCAATTTATGTTGCAGTTATTGATGTATATGGGATAGTTTCTTCCAGCTTAGTTTATGAGTTTATTCTACTTTTTTTTGTTTATTTTACATTTTTTTAAAAATTGGTAAATAAATCTGTTAAGGAGACAAGAAACTTAGCACACTTTTATCCCTTGATGTCTCACTTGTCAACACTTAACCATGTTAGTATAATTTAGGAATTTAGTTCTGGATTATAAAATACATATTTCTGTTTTTCTTTTCTTCTTTTTTTTTCTTTTTAATGCATTTTATTGAAATATAATTTATGTACAGTGAAATACACAAAACTAAAGTGACATGGGTCAAG